ATTAGCTGGGTGTGGTGCCGTGTCTGTAACCCCAGCTACTCAGGAGGCTGAGGCAGAATTGTTTGCACCCAGGAAGTGGAGGTTGCAGTGAGCTGAAATCACCCTACTATACTCCAACTTGGATGACAAAGCAAGACTCTATCTAAAAAAATAAATAAATAATAAGGATAAACAGCAATTCAAGTTTTTTTGTTCTGGAAACAGGGTCTCACTGTGTCACCTAGACTGCGGTATAGTGGCGCGATCAAAGCTCATTGCAACCTCTGCTTCCCAGGCTTAAGCGATCCTTCCACTGCAGCCTCCTGAATAGCTGGGACTACAGATGCATGCCAACATGCCCAGCTTTTTGGAATTTTTTGTAGAGATAGGGGTTTCATCATGTTGCCCAAGCTGGTCTCAAACTCCTGGACTTGAGCGATCTGCCCTCTTCAGTGTCCCAAAGTGCTGGGATCACAGGTGTGAGCCACTGTGCCCAGTTGAGACATGACAACTGAATACAATAAGTGTTGTCACTTGGACCTTAAAACAGGAAAGAAATGGCTACAAAAGACAATATTGGGACACCCAGCAAACTTGAATATGGACTATATATCAGAAGACAATATGGTATCAATGCTACCTTCTCTGAATTATATAATTGTACTATAGTTAGGTGAGCTAATGTACTTGTTCTTAGGAGAAAATCATGACATTATTTAGGGATGAAGGTCCCCCCCCCAAATAGTTTAGCAATAAAGCAAATGTGATGAATGTTAAAAATGATAAATCCCGGTGAAGGGCATACATGAGTTTGTTGTACAATTATTTCATTGTTTTGAAATGTTTTCAAAATAATTTAAAAACTAGTAAGACCTCATTTAATCAGTGTAGAGTAATGGGATATTCTCCTCGAGTAAACTAAAGCTGCTGCTTAATCCATTGGCTCAAAAAGTTTCCATAAAAATCTTTCTTGTAGCCATAAAATGGAATGAACTCATGTCTTTTGCAGGGACATGAATGAAACTGGACGCCATCATCCTCAGCAAACTAACAAAGGAACAGAAAACCAAACACCACATGTTCTCACTCATAAGTAGGAGTTGAACAATGAGAACACATGGACACAGGAAGGGGAACACCACACAACAGGGCCAGTTGTGGGGGACGGGGGTCCAAGGGGAGGAGGGGAGCATTAGGACAAATAGCCAATACATTCAGGGCTTAAAACCTAGAAGATGGGTTGATGGGTAAAGCAAACCACCAAGGCACATGTATACCTCTGTAACACACCTGTAGGTTCTGTACTTGTATCCCAGAACTTAGGGTAAAAAAAAAAAAAATTTTTTTTTTTTTTTAGTAGAGACGGGTTTTCACCTTGTTGACCAGGATGGTCTCGATCGCTTGATCTTGTGATCCACCCACTTTGGCCTCCCAAAAGTGCTGGGATTATAGGCGTGAGCCACCGCGCCCAGCCAAAAAACGAAACTTTCTAATATGTGTTACCCTTTTTTCCTCCTGATTAAGAAATTGCAGAATGAACCCAGTAAAAATCTTCTCTAAAAAGCAATAGTTCTCAAACTATGTGCACTGACTCAATTGGGAAACTGAGAAATTCTGTTGCCCAGGCTGCACCTCACACCAATTAAGTCAGAATGTAGGCTGGGTAAAGCCCAGGCCTAAGTACTTTTTAAGGCTCCCAGGTGGTTCCACTGTGAAGCTATGTTGAGAACACTGCCCTGTATATGGTTTCTACCCACTGTTGTAATTCTAACTTCTGGGACCACCAATCAACTTCCTCTTTCTTCCTGGAGCACTTGGGAACACTGAGGACAGCCATCATGTGCCTCTCCTTCCCCTCCAATCTCTCTTCAGTGTGCAACATCTCTCATTCCTTTAGGTGCTCTTCTGGACTCTGAATTATGGTAAGGTACTTGCCAGGGCACATGTACTCCAAAAGGCATGACTCATAATATCCCCAAACTGCAAACATCCCAAAGTCCACCAACAGAAAATGGACAAATTGTGATATATCCATATGACTGAATACTACACAGCAATAAAAACTACACCTATTCCAAATATTGACGAATCTCACAACGTCAAGAAATCAACATGAAAAGAATATATGATTCCATTTATATAAAGTTCAAATGCAGACAAAATTAAACAACATTGCTAGAAGTCAGAATGGTGGTTACCTGTGGGAAGAAAGGAAGCAGCAATGACTGGGAGTATAAAGGAGGCTTTGAAGTGTTGGGCATGTTCTAATTTCTTTACTGAATGTGGCTATTCACATTTGCTTTGCATTAATTTAAAGAACTGTATAATTGTCTTGGGTATTTTCCTGTAAGTATGATATAAATGTTACTATGAGGCCCAAGATAAAAGATATGAAAATCCATTTTAATCATTCAAATCACCATGTGCAGAATGGTTGTTGCTGTTACCCACCTCTTTCATTCCTCTCTCAGCTCTGGAACCAAAGTGTCTGGGTTCAGTCTCAGCTCTACTATTTACTAGCTGAGCACCTTGTGCAAATCTGTGTGTTTCCTCAAGTATAAAATGAAAACACTGTCATTTTAGAACACTTCCTCCAGTTTTCACTGATAGTAGGTACCTATCATATGTGATATATTCATAAGGTGGATATGACAGTACAGATACCTACTATCTAAGTGACTGAAAACTGGAGAAAGAAATATAAAGTGCTTAGAACACAGCCTGGAATATAGTAAGTAATAAATAGTAGCAGCTGCTACTACTCTTGGCCTCAGAGTCTCTGTGGATGTACAAGGGAGAAGCTGGGGTCTTTCCAAGATGGGAAACTTCCAGAAGAAAATTAAAATTATTTCCTTCTCTTGGAGCTCTTGGATGAGGTGGATGCTGGCTTCTGCTATCAGTCAGATGTCCAGTCTGGCTCTCACCAAGGGCCCAAGGAAAAGCAGGGGGAGAACAATTAGACAGGAACATTTCACCACTAAAAAGGCTTTTATTACAAAACGAACTCTAATAAAACCAGATCTGGTCTTCAACCCCCACTCCCGCCGCCCTTTGCTGGGTAGAGGCCCTAGGGTGGGCTGGGGTAGGGGAGATGGGGGTGGTGGACCTTGAAAGAACCGAGCAGGCTGCCTTTCTCTCATCAGTCTCAGCCGCTGCCCTCCTTTTATAAAGGGCTAGAAGAGCTCTTCCAAAGCCCCTTGAGAGAGTCCCCATCCTTCCAACCAGGACCACTGCTGTCACAGGACCTTAGCAATGCCGCATTGCAGGATCCAGGTGGTCTTGGCTGGCTCTCAGCAGAGGCCACCCAGGGTCACTCAGCCTGAGCGATGGCGTAGGAGAGCAACCACAGCAGCAGGGGGCCCAGAACAAGGACAGCACACCAGACAGCAAAGCTGGCCAGGATGAGTTTCCGGGCCCGGGCCCCCCAGCGCACTGCCTCCTCGGACCGGCCTGCCTTATGCCGCTCTTCCGCCTGTGGGGGCAGGTTCTTGGTTAGGTTCTCCTGCTGTTTCTGCCCCAATGTGCCCATTTCCCCACTCCACTCCTCCTTCTCTGTCACAGATCAAAACCTCACATCCAAACCCTCTACCTCCCTTTCCAGTTTCTGATTTTCACCTCTGATCTGCAAAATATGGTACCCCTGCCTACTTCTCAGGGTGGCCACAGTTACCTCACAAGATCACACACGGGAAAGTACTTTCCAATTCTTTTATTCCCATTCTTTCCAACCATCCCAGATTGATTCAAAATTTGTAACTACTGGCAAGAAACAGTGAGCCTGGAGTATTTCACTCATGCCCAAACACTACCTCATTCTCATAGTCCATTGGGCCTCATCTTTTTCATCATGTTTTTTTTGAGACGGACTTTCACTCTTGTTGCCCAGGCTGTAGTGCAATGGTGCGCTCTCACTGTAACCTCCGCCTCCCAGGTTCAAGCAATTCTCCTGCCTCAGCCTCCTGAGTGGCTGGGATTACAGGCGCGTGCCACCATGCCTGGTTAATTTTGTATTTTTAGTAGAGATGTGGTTTTACCATGTTGGCCAAGCTGGTCTCGAACTCCTGACCTCAAGTGATCTGCCCACCTCAGCCTTCCAAAGGGCTGGGATTACAGGCATGAACCACAGCACCCAGCCTCTCTGTCATCATTAAGTACTCTTTTTAGTATTTTGCTCTAATGGAACCCCGAAGTTCTTACAGTAAGTTTCTGTTAAAATGTCTAGGGTTGAGAAAATTCCAGGATGAAGTTTAAGTTAGCCTGTGTAGTCTTTCCAAAAGGACATGGTGCTGTTTTTAATAGGCTTTTTGAAATGGTGAAGCCCTACCAAAAACCCAATAGTGTCTTCCAGACTCCTAGAGATTGTGCTCATCACCATTCAGCTGCCTCCAGCCTTGTACCCTCGAAGTCACCTTCCATGTAGGCCTTGAGAGTGGATCTTTCTAAAACTCATATCTGACCAAGTCACTTTCCCCTGCAGGAACCATTCAATGGTTCCCCAGTACTTTTAAGACAAAGTCAAAACTCTTAAACATAGAATTGGAGGCCCTTGGGAATCTGGGTCCTCTGGCTTCATCTCTCAGTATTCCTCACTGGTACAGTTGTGCTCCACAGGCCTTTGTACACACTACTCCCTTGACCCAGAATGCCCTTCCACCCTTATTCACTCACCCTTTAAGGCTAACTCCTGTCACCTCTCCTAGGATGCCTTTCCAGTCACCTACTCTACCACATACACATATATAATCACACACACACACACAAACACACATATATAATCTCCAACCTCCCTGGCTCCCAGAGTGTCCTGTGCTTCTTGTATTACAGTACTGATAAACTGCATTCTATTAATTAGCCATTTTCACTGCCATCTCTTTCATTAGACTATGGGTCCTCTGACAACAAGGAACACTGTCTTATTCTTATTTCTGGCACCAGGCCCAGAACCGAGCATTGATAGGTATTCAGTAATCGTTTGGTCAATGTAGACAGATCAGATACATGAACCCATTGCCTTATACCCATCCCCCTGTTCCCATGGGAATTGCACTCCTCACCTTGATGGCAAACACCAGAGCCATGACTCCCAGGCAAGAGCAGCCACAGATAATGCTAGCAGCTGCCAAGCAGCGGAGGCGGAGCCAGCAGCAGCGGATGGGGGATGGAGAATGAGCAGCTTCCGTGTTGCTCATCAAGATCTCCACTGCCTTCTCCTCGTCCTCCATCACCTGTGGACGATAGTCAAGGTACTTGTGAGCCCAACAATTGAGCCCTTGGCCTTGCTTGCTCAGACTCCACCCCTCAGAGCACTCTGTTCTCATGGCCAAGCCTAGCAGTCAGGAAAGCTACCTCACTGGGGAATTCCTCTAGTGACTCACAGAACAGGACAGGAAATGTGTGGCTGGAATCCTTTTACCTGAGCTTGAGGTTCTGAGTGTTTGAAAGCAAGCCAGTGTGGACATGGCATTATCTGTATTATTTGGTGTTTTGACAAGTGGGAAGAAGCCAAATGACAGGCAGACACCGAGAAGCAGGAGAAATACAGACTCTTGAAAGCTGCTATGAATCTGTTATTTTAATCTGTATTTCAAAGGGCCCTAAATTCCTTAGAGGCTGCCCCCTGAATATTACAGATATCAGAGAACAGGACCTAGGTACTGCACCCCACTTCAAGCAAAGCGGCCATTTTACATGAAAACAGTTATAGGAATGGAGAAAAGTAAGGATAATGTACCCAAGTAAGCCCTTTTTTACCACTGAAGCCAAACACCAGAAAGACCTTCCCTAAGTCAGGGCTTCCTCTGCTATGCTGCCTCCCTGCCACCTCCTCTTCATTTTAACCCAGGCCACACAACACAATTATTCTAGCACACTGAGTCCAAATGATCTCATTACCACACAGAAACCTGCATGATGCCCTACTTAATCATTTATTGTCTTCCTAATTCTCACGTCCTCTAGCCCTGGCATCAAACCACCTTTCTACCCTTATCTCCAACCACTCCCCTATAACCCAGACAAAATGAACACCTGTGGCTTCCCGAACACAAGTAACAAAGGATAGGAAGGAAGGGTGAAAGAGGTGAGACAAGCAAAGAGCAAAGAATGATGTGTGCCAAAAAGCTGCAGGGAAGTAGACATGAAGAAATAACTCAGATGAGGTAAACACAGAGCCAATAGGAGGACATAAGGAGGGCCCAGGGAGTGAAGAGAATGTAAAAATGAACAGCGATCTTACCTGGCTATAGGCCTTGAGGGACTCTGAGTTTCGGCTCCCGCCTCAGCTTTGGTTTGGCTTGGGTGGTGATGGAGCTGACTCAGGGCTCCAAGCCAAGTCCAGGGGTGGGGTTGGGTGGCCAGCCACCACCTGAAGAAGCCAGGGAGCTGGGAAGGGGTGTGGCTGACTAAAACCAGTTTGGCTAGATGAAAAGCAGGCAAGGGCCAAGGGATGGAGCAACTGGAGCTAGGATGCCTGCCCTCTGGAAAAAGGAGTGAAAGGAAGCACCTGAGCAAGAGGGATTCACGGGAAAGGTCTGAGGCATCAGAGAGCTCCAAGTCAAGTCCAGGAACAAAGGGAACAAAAAGGAGATGAAAAGGACGTCTGTGACTTCAAACTGACTAGAGAAAGGCACCCTACATCAGATTCGCCAATCTTTCCTCTTCGGTAGATTTCTACCTCAAATATACAATCCTGGGCTAAAGATCAGGTGCTAGGGTCTTTGCAAGAGCAAGAGAGGAGAATAACGATGCCCAAGTTCCCACCCAGCCCTCCACCAGACCAGAAAATCAGAAGCCTCCTTACGCGGATGCTCGTACAGAAACTAAGTTTATTATTTTTTCTTCTTAAAAAAAAAAAAAAAAAATAAAAAAAAAAAAAAAAAAAAAAAAAAAAAAAAAAAAAAAAAGAAAGAAAAAAAAAGAAAAAAACCTCATTGTAGAGAAGCCCCTCCCTTTTCCCCTAAGGGTGGGGGGCTGTGAAAGACAGCTGGGGAATCAAGTACAAGGGGGTGGGGACAGAGACTATCTTGCCACCCTTAACACTACCCAGCCACGTGGGGTGAAGGGGAGGGGGGCTGTGATGATCCCCGTTTCCATGACAACCAGTTGCCTACCCCCTACTTTGGTGGGAAGAAAGGAGAAGGCCCCTTTGTCTCCCTGGAGGCTTTCCCCCTCAAGACTTCAAGTAGTGGTTAAACAGAGTCAGGCCTGGTCATGGAGGGAGCGGCCACAGTGGAAAGCCTAGGTGGAGGGGCAGCCCACTCACGTCTTGGCCTTGCGGCCTCTGTGACTAACAGCAGGGCCAGCCAGGGAGGGAGGGGCACTGCTGCGCAGGATGCGCTGGTCTCCTTGGTTGGTGGTCCCAACAAGCCTGCGGGGGCCAGGCCGTCGGTGTGGGGTCCCATCCCCTTCCTCCTCCTCACCTGAGGGTTCAGGCTCAGACTCCTCTACTGAACCCTCAGGGCCCAGGGGACTTGGGGGCTGTAGGCGGCCCCGCTTCGCCAGCCCAGGACCCCCACCAACTGGGGCCCCTGCTCGTTTGCGAGGCACCTTCTCAGTCTCTAGTGGGGTGACTAGAGACCCTGGACGCAGCCGGGTCGAGCGCAGTTTTGGGGCTGAGACCACAGGAGGTGTCAATTCCAGCCCGCCTGGCCCACTATCTGCTAAGTCCAGGTCATCCTGAATTACGGCCACCACCATGGACCCTCCGCTCTTCCGTCCTCGCATTCCCTCTGCTTCAAGCCGAAGGCGGGCCAGGCGGGTAAGAGGGCGGCTTCCATCCTCATCAGAAGAACTGCCCTCACTCTCCCCCTGGCCCTGGGGTTGCCGTCGCCTCCCCAATCCACAGCTTTCAAGGACAGAAGTGCTGTCACGGTCCAATACAGGGAGCTGGCTGGGCCGAGGTGACGGAGGATTCTTGGGAGGTCGGCCTCTCTTCCGTTTGGGTGGGGAGGTTGAAATGTTGACAGTGGTGACAGTGTTGGCAACAGTAGCGGAGGGACAAGCTAGCAGTGGTGGGAGTAGGGGTGGCTGTGTCCGACTTTCGGAGTTGCCATCCCCTGGAGAGGAAATGGTGCCAGGGATGGGCAAATCTCGTGCCTTAGGGGGCCGCCCTCGCCTTCTTTTCTCCACAGGTGACAGGATGGGATTGGGTCTGTGAACTGGCTGGGGTCCAAGAGGCTGGGGCCCAGGAATAAGCTGTGGTTCCAGGACAGGCTCTGCAACAATTAGGGTCCCAGCCCCAGGGACTGGGTCAGCCCCATTGGTTTTTCCCTTCGAGGTGAATGAGGGTGCCTCATCCACACCTCTCCCAGCATCTGCTGGAGACCTGTTCTTGGGAGGCCTCCCCCTCCGACGTTTCACAGCAGGTGGGGTGATGGCAAGCAGTGCTCCATCTCCATTCTCTGGGGTGCCACCACCAGTCACCCCCAGCTCAATGTGATGGCGAGCGATGAAGGGCTGCTGCGGTGGAGTGGGCAGTGAGGATGAAGGAGCAGCTTCACAGGGCCCACTAGTGGGAGGGGAGGATTCTGGCCCTGACATACTTCGGACAGACGGACTTCCCGGGCTGGCACTAGTCTCAGAGACCCCAGACACTAAGGTGCTGGCAGCTCCCCGCTGCTGCCGCCGCCGCCGCACCAGTTCCTTTTCCTCTACCACAGTTACTAGCCGTCCTGGCAGCTTTCGAAGTACTTTGGGGCCTGGTGATTGCCCTGGCCGACCAGTCCCTTGACCCCTAATTTCCACATCAGCACTGGTGCGACGCCGAGGAGGTCGGGCAGGTGAAGGACCCTCAGGCGAGGAAGTGGCTGAAGATGAGGTGGATGGAACTGCGACCTCAGCTGTTACAAGTTCCTGTGGCTTCTCTGGGCTGAAAGTTGGGGTCTGGGCCTCTACCAGCTCTTCTGAGTTCCTGTCAGCCTCCAAGGGATCCTGAAGTGGCTCATCAGATGCTGCTGAGGGTGGGAGCTCCAAGCCATTGCTCTCACTCATACGCAGGGGCAACTCCTCACCTTCAGGCAGCAGTGTAAGGGTGGTCCCCTCAGCAGAATCTGGTGCCTCCTGCTCTTGACCGTTGGGGACGCTGCTAGCCTCCAAGGTTGGGCTGGAGGCAGAAGGGGTGAGAGAAAGGTTCTTCTCTGACACAGGCAAGATCTCCACAGCAACTGGCAACAGATCTTTAGGAGGCACAAGAGTAAGTGAGGAGGTCTCTGAACTGGCCACAGTAGCCAGTTCCAGGGACTCTGGAGATGCCAATGCCTGGGCACACAGTTCTGCCTCAGGCCTCAAGCCCAAGGGGAGGCTGGTGACTGGGGGAGAGATGGGCACAGAAGGTGGACCAATCAAGAGAGGAAAGGAAGGAGTTAAAAGAGAGGTTTGGGCTGGAGGAGGGGTATGAGCTGGTGGAGGGGTACAGGTGGGAGAAGGGGTACAGGCAGGAGAAGAACAAGGAGGAATCTGTGAAGGAGGAGGGGGAGGAGAAGGCAAGATATGGACAGGAAGAATGGTTATTGGATTTGGGGCTGAAATGGGTAATGGGACAGAGACTGGGACAGGGACAGGGGCAGGAATTGCAGCCGGAGCTGAAGCTGGAGTGGGTCGAGGCCTAGGTGCTGGCCTGGGAACTCGCTCCCTGGCAGGACTGCAGCGGGGCGGCGTGGTGGTGCTGCGAGTTTGATGGGCAGATATGACAGGAGTGTGGTTTGCCCCTTGAGTCTCAGCCCGGGCTCCACGAAGACGCTCACTAACACGAGTCCCTGGCCTCTCAGGGGCTTTGGCCTTTTTACTGCGCCGGTGGCTGCCTCCACCAGTCCCACAGGAACTCTCATCCCCAGCCCCCAATCCCTCCTCTTCCTCTTGGGGTAGGCGGAACACTTCCTCCTTGGCTTGGTCCAGGTCTTTTCGGGCAGCTTCCACTTGCTCCTACAACAACAGGGCCCACAAGTGGTCAGGAGGAGGCAAGGAGGGTAGAGAGTGAGTAGAAATTAGCAGCTCCCAGGCTGGGTGTGGTGACTGATGCCTGCAATTCCAGTACTTGGGGAAGTTGAGGCTGGTGGATCACCCAAGGTCAGGAGCTCAAGACCAGCCTGGTGTCTTGAACATGGTGAAAACCCATCTCTACTAATAATACAAAAATTAGCCAGGCTTGGTGGTGCACACCTGTAGTCCCAGCTACTCGGGAGGCTGAGGCAGGAGAATTGCTTGAACCAGGGAGGTGGAGGTTGCAGTGAGCTGAGATCACACCACTGCACTCCAGCCTGGGTAACAGAGCGAGACTTTGTCTCAAAAAAAAAAAAAAAAAAGAAATTAACAGCTCCCCACTGCCAGACCCACCCCTGGAAATACTCACTTCTGCCTGTTTGAGCTCCTCTCGGCTCACCTCCTCCAGTGAGGCCTCCAGGAATTTCATGGCATAGCGCTCAATGGGGGTCAGCTGCAAGGAGGAGCAGTGGTGATAAACGTAGGAACCTGGTACCCAGTATCCAGGGTCCTACCACCCTTGTTTATTCCCACCAGGGAAGACAGAAGGATGGTCACAAGTCCAGGGGAAACACACAAATGCTCATACCCAACAAGAACTAGTGGGTCCAACACTGACCTGTTCTACAAGGGCAGCAATTTCCTGCTCAGCCCGGGACATCTCCTCATCCTCAGCCCCAGGCCGGCCGGCCTCCTCTCCCTCACCAGCAGGAAACCCATCGTTCTCATTAAATTCTGCAAGCTCAGCCACCTGTTCAGCCTTGGCCTGGGTGGCTGCACGGATATCCTCCTCATCTTCTGCCCGACACAATGCCTACCAGGGTGTATAAAAGGAAAAGAAAACATGAGACTTCAAGTACTTTATATCCTGTGATTTGATTCAGGCAAAAACTTGAGACTAAGCGTACACAAACTAGGTTTGCAACAGAACTTAACAACCTCCTAGGCCTGCAGAGTTACCACAACTCAGTGGTCCACATAGGATGGACTGGATTTTACCAGGACTCCCACTAGGGGAAAATAACTATTTTAGAGAGGACTTGCTCGACTTCCTTTAACGTCAGCTTCAGCTCTCTTTAAAAAAAAGCCGTCACAGAAAGATGTGAATAAAAATGCACAATTCTTTTTTGCACTGAGATGGCTCAAGACAACATACTGACCACATCTGCTCTTTCCAGAAAGCTCACACGAAAGCCACCAAGGCAAGGAGCCTACAGTACTCAGTGGGGAAAACATATCCATGGTGCACTCTGCCTGGGGTTCCTAAACGCCTGTCTACAGCTGGAGAGCTTTGAAAACACACAAATGCTCAGACCCAACACCTCAAAATTACGATTCAGATTTTGAGAGCGGGCCAAGGAGTAATTTTTTTTTTTTTTTTTTGCGACAGAGTCACTCTGTCGCCCAGGCTAGAGTACAGTAGCATGATCTCAACTCACTGCAACCTCCACCTCCTGTGTTCAAGTGATTTTCCTGCCTTAGCCTTCCAAGTATAGTTGCGATTACAGGCGCCTACCAAGCCCAGCTAATTTTTTGTATTGTTAGTAGAGATGGGGTTTCACTATTTTGGCCAGGCTGTTATTAAAGGAATAAATCTTTTTAAAACCTTTCTAAATGTGACTTTATTTTTTTTTTTTATTTTTTTTTTATTTTTTTCTGAGACGGAGTTTCGCTCTTGTTACCCAGGCTGGAGTGCAATGGCGCGATCTCCGCTCACCGCAACCTCCGCCTCCTGGGTTCAGGCAATTCTCCTGCCTCAGCCTCCTGAGTAGCTGGGATTACAGGCACGCACCACCATGCCCAGCTCATTTTTTGTATTTTTAGTAGAGACGGGGTTTCACCATGTTGACCAGGATGGTCTCGATCTCTTGACCTCGTGATC